GTTAATTAGTGTGTTGTATTGTATTGCTTTTGAGTCAGCAGCCCTACCCGTTGCCTTTTCTTCTCCTTTGTCGTATTCTTTTCGTCCCTCCGTATGGTGCGGACGCCGCTTTCTCGTTTTCTTTTCGTCCCTCCGTATGGTGCGGACGCCGCTTTCTCGTTTTCTTTTCGTCCCTCCGTATGGTGCGGACACTCCCTTTTCGTTCGTGTGCGTGGGTGTGGTGTGTCTGTCGCTGTCTACTCCCCGTCTGTCTACTTCTTATGTGCGTCGGCGGTGTTCTCGTTGACCGAAACAATCGGTTGGTGGTGGTGGTGGTGGTGCTTGTCGGGGGCGGGAGGTCGGTTGGTGGAGGGTGGGTGGATGGATGGATGGTGTCGGCCCGGGGCTGGCCATGGGTGTGGGTGGCGTGACCTCTATCAGAGTGTCGGTGTAGACATTGGCACCGTCTGGTAATTTCTAGTTGCGTGACTGACTTATTTGTGAAATACTGGCTGCCAGAATGGATGGATGAGGCCCATGCCTGCTCGTTGACTGACTGTGATGCAGCCAGCGTGTCGGGGTGTGTGTGTCTGGATGGAGGGATGGATGGATGGATGACAGACGAATTCACTCTCATGTGGTGACAATCGTGACCCATGCATGGTTCGTGGATGCGTGAGATGCGTGTAGAGGTGTGAGCGTAACGCCATGCCCGTGTGCATCCATGTCGACTTACTACTGCTGACTGACTGACTGCGTATTTGTTGTATTTTTGGTCCACGGTTCATTCGACCTACTCACTCCACTCACCATGTGCTGTTTGTATGCATGTATAGGCTTACGTACCTTACTGCAGGCACCCACAGACTCACTGCTCCTCTCCTGCTTTGGCGGTGTTGGGTGCGGCCCGCTTCACACCACACCCGACCGCCAAGACACACATGCGCACCACGAGCACACAAAGGTCGACCCGGTGCATCTGTGTAGCTTGCTACTGACTGACTGACTGACTAACTCCACATTGTTGGCCCACCATTCATTCACTGGCTTCCCTTTGTCATCCGGCGGTTTTGCTTAGCGGCCCGCGACATGCCCACTCACCCACTCAGGCACCCACATGCCGACGCGATGCACAGCTTTCTCCTACTGCGCAGGAACACTGCTCTTTCCGCCGCTGTTTTTCGTCGCTGGCCGCATTTCCAGCCTCCGCCAGACACCACCACTGCGCTGTCGGGCCATCAATCATCCCATCGACAGCTTCTTGTGCCGCCGCACAGCTCATCTACATACATGAGTGTATGTAGCTGCCTGGGCTGGCCAGCTGGCCTAGTCAGAAACCCTCATACGTATCCATGTGTCTCGGGCAGAGAGAGCAGCTCACTCACAACCAGCCACCTCCACACACACACACACACATACACACACACGGTGTGTCCATCGGTGCGTATACATATGTGTGTGTGTGTGTGTGTGTGCATCGTGCACTGATGTGTGGCACTTGCTTACACGAACACACACACATACACATACACATTCACATACACTTACTTGCACCATCCACCCCCCACACACTCACCCCACCCTCTCTCTCTCTCTCTGTGTGTGTGTCTGTGTGTCCCTATGCGTGCGTCTGTGCCGTGTGTGGACGTCAGTCAGGTCAGTGGACAACTGCTTGCGTCTGTGCTCTGTGTGTATGTGTGTGTGTGTCTTTTCCGTGGGTTTGCCCACGCCTCTGTGCCGTGCCGCTTCCGAGTAGTATCTATCTCCTGCTTGGCACATAGCGAGCGGATCCATCGATGCTGATAGATAGCATGTCTTTTATCGATGATGTTTACGTTAGTGAGAATGCGTCTCACACACACAGTCAGGCCACCCATCTGTCCATCCACCCATCCACACAGTCACTGCACTTCCTCCCTCCATCCCTCCTTTGTCTGCACAATGTATGTATGTGTGTATTGGTATGGCACCATGCACCATCACACCACAGCACGGATGATGCCATCCTGATAAGTCGAGATGAGATGAATTACATGGGGTGATCAGTCAGCAAGTGGATGGATGGATGGCAAAACTTGGTACGTGCAGCACAGTGTATAGAGAGCCAGCCAGCCAGCCAGCCAGCCAGGGAGGGAGGGAGGGAGGGAGGGAGGGAGAAAAAGGGAGAAAAAGCCAGACGGTGAACCTATGGACTTGACTTACTTATAGACGCTAGTTCCCGCTGCACTGCTGTGTGTGGCCAGTCGCCGAGAGGTTTTATATGTGGCCTTAAATCGGCCGTTTCATTCTCCGGTTCACCCTCTCGCTTCCCGTCGGTGTGACGGTTCATGATGCGTCTGTTGTACGAGTGTGGTCGATCATCGAGTGCCCACGGCTCTGTTACTGTGTTCGCGTCTCGTTCAGACAAGTCTGTCCCCGCTTGTGGAGGGGACTATCCTGTGTCGGCTGTCTGCTCCTTGCCTGCAGTGCTTCGCTGTCTACTCCCCGGCAGGGCAGGAGCCCCAAGTGTGCAGTGAGCAAGGTTGGATGCCAGCTTAAAAGCTCGCCAGCTCCCGTCCCGTCGTAAATCTCGGGGCTGTGATGGATATGACGAAGCGCCGCCTCGTTCTCGTGGCGAGAACCGGTTTGATGCATCTGGACGCGACCACCATTGATGCGGCGGTGCAGAAATCGGATGTCATCGCAGACATGTCGGAAGGGGGTGAGAGAGAACATCTGGCTGAGATCCCTCCGAGCCCGTCTGTGAGTTCTTGTGTGCATCTCTCGCAGACGCCGATGAGCCGCTGCCGGTCCGTCAGTTTAGCAGACTCACTCTGATGGCGGTGCTGGAGTACTGCGAGCGCCATGTGGCCGACGAGGATCCGTGGCTGCCTTGCAAACGCGTCGAGTCACACCACATCGGGGAGGTCAGATGCAGACGATCATATGGCTCATATGGCTCATGAGCTGCGTGAATCTTCATTGCCGCTTCTTCTTTTGGAATGCAGGTCGTGTCTGATGGGTGGGACGCCTTCTATCTCCGACAGAACGAGTATCAGGTCCTCAGAATCATGAAGGTACAGCAACCGCCAGAGTCACCAGACACACAGCACACGCGCCCTCTGTACGTGTTTGGTGTCCTGGACCCGCTGCAGGCGGCGGACTTTTTCAACATCCCCTCTCTACTGCAGCTGACTCAGCTCAGTGTGGCGTGCTATCTTAATGTATGTAAGACGACAAGAAGGGACAGTCTGACCCCACAGCCGCCATGCTCACTCACATTGGTCTTGTGCAGCGATTTCAGCCCCATCAGGTGGGCTCGGCCGCCATAGAGGCCGAGCGACGCCGCCTCACTTGCCGCGTCAAGACGTCACAGCCGCCCCGCCCCACCACCAACCCACACGACAGCCTTCTCGACTTGCCCGCGCCCTCATCCATGATACGCAAGACCAAGGCCGAGTCGTGCGTATCTGCTGGTGGTGACGTAGCTGTATCGGAGACACTCATCGCAGGAGGCAAATCTCTCATACCGGTGAGTGATCACACACACCCCCACACACCCACTCTCGTGGCCACATCCATCCATCCATCCATCTGTCCTTTCTCCCGTGTTTGTGAGTCGGCCCCTGTGGCTGTGTGTGCAGATCGATGAATCTGAGGGTGGTGGCGTGGTGCGCGGTGCCTGTCTCCCGGGGCTGCATGCCATGCCTTTGATACGCGTACGGCTCGACTACAGCCACCACACTCACGTGTGTGGATGTTGTTTTGCGTCTCAGCGCTGCTTCGGTTGGTCACCGTGCGGGAGGGCTCGCACGGCGGCGACTGGACGGTCGGACGCCAGGCATCGACGTCCGATGGACAGCCCCAATACCATCAAGGTGCGCATCGACACGCCTGACGGAGGGTTGTTGCAGTGCACGTGTGGTAATGCATCGCTTGGTGCCCCTCTTCAGGTGCAGTCTGGTGTGTGTGGCGTCGAGAGCAACGCCGATGACACGGAGGCGCTGATCGACACCCTCACATACCTCGTAGAAGTACCCAACCCATACGCAGATAGATACAGACAGAGACCGTCTCTTTGTGTCTGTCACCGATGCAGAACGTCAATCTGCTCGCTGGTGTCTTTCTCCATCTGCCCTTTCGCTGCCTCGAAGCCCTGCCGATCTCACTGCTGATTGAGGTGGTCCCCCACTTCAAATGGCACCTGAGACTCCCCTCCCGCGGCGCCTGCTACGGTCTCCCAAGGATTCTCCCCGAGACGGAGTGGTGTGGCTGGGATATCGCAAGGCTCAGCGTGGTAAGGCTCAGTCGTAACATCCATTCCATTGCATGTCTCTCTCCCTTCTGTCTGGGTGGGCAGAAGATTGAGAAGGAGCTGTCTGACGTGCAAGGGGTAGGCAGCAACACAACATACGACACATCCAGCCTCAAATAGACTTGACGATGCCTTCGCGGTATCCTGTGTGCTCCGTCCATCCATCCATCCAGGAACCGCGAGGCTCAAACGACGCCGCGAGGTGGAGGCGGCCATCGACAAGTACGTCAAGCTCACCAACCCGTCCCCCAAGCCCGACACCGCCACACAGGAGGACACCATCATCGAGGGGGACGAGGAGGTGAGCAAGATCACTGGCCACACGCAGGACAAACCCAACCCACAGCTGCGGGAGCTGCGCAAGGGGATCCGTTCAGAGGTGCGTGAGGAGCTCGATGCTCTGAAGAAGAGCATTGAGAAGTCGGAGGAGGCGAGCCGGGAGCTGGACCAGCGCCTGGCGGCCGCCAAGGCCAAGCTCGAACCCCGGCGCGGCAGGCGGACTTCCAGAGGCGGGTGCAGGAGAAGCGAAAGGCCAGGGAGAGGGAGGAGGAGGTGGAGGCAGCAGTGGCGGCCTTCATCGACGCTGTACCCCACCAAGGCCGTCGCCACCACCATCACCATCGAGGGGGAGGAGGCCGCCATCGGGGGGACGGGCTGCTGCGGCGGCAGCTGGGGGTGCTGGGGGCTGATAAGGGAGGTGGAGGGAGGTTGTGTGGTGATGTGATCGATGGGTGCTTGCAATGCATCTGTCTGTACAACCAACAGCCCTTGCACACGCAAGCATCTGTGGTGTGCATGCCATGGAATGACTGCAAGGCGAGGGCTTGCATGTGTCTCTCCTCACAGTCATTCCATGCACACGCAGATGGATTCATCGACCGCTATCGTAGACATACATACATACATTCATGTGCAGAGCAGACACACAGTGTGTGACGGACGGGTGCTTCTGGCTGGCTGACACCGCGGTCGGGGGAGGGAGGGAGGGACGGAGAAAAATGGGCGGCAGTCAGTTTTGTGCATGTGTGTAGATGACCATGTGCGTGTGTTTATACAAAGACATCCATTCACGAACGTACGTTTGAGTTCGGTTCGCATCTCTCGCACTCGCCTCTCTGTGATTACCATGCACTCACTGCAGGCAGCCCTCACAAGCAGGTCCGCCACATCCACCATCCATCCGCAAACAGCAGAGATGGGTGGGTGGGCGTAATCTTGGGATGGGCTGGGCCGGGCTGGGCGGCAGTCGCTCGTGTGTTGCCTGCCGATGGGGCTGGGCTGCTTTGACGGTTGGTTGAGTCGCGGCTGTTAGAGAATGAGTCGATCGGGGAGGGCACGAACGAACGAACAAGAGAATAAGTGAAGGTCGATGTGACAAGTAAGTGTCTCACACACGTAACACGCAACGTGGCAGGCAGGAAACAGGTGAAAGAGTGTCCAAACAGGGAAAAGGCGAAAGGGTGTCGGCGACTGGCAGACAGGGGAGGGGAGAGGGGAGGGGAGGAGAGGAGAGAGAGGAAGGAAGGAGCAGAGGCAGGTGCCCATCGGCACACACGTCACTGGTCGTCATTGGACTAGCTATACACGCCACACACACACACACTCTCTCATCACACATGCAGGGAGGGAGGGCAACACGAAGGGGTACACCGACCGACCGACCGACCACCGACCGTCCTTGAAAAGCCAAAACTTGTGCCATCCATCCATCCCACCCGGCCGCACAACGGCCGCGACGCAAGCAATGGGAGGCAGCAAGGGAAGCCAGAAAGAGCAACGCAACTGGGAGGGAAGAGGCAAAGAGGCAAGACAACAGCCGAAAAATCGACGGTGCACCGACCAGAGACCACTCAAGCAAGGAAGCAATCAATCAATCAAGGGAGGAAGCCACAACAAACCACAGCCGCCCAGCAGACCAGCAACCAAGCCGGCCGGCCGGCTACAAAAGCCCCTTTCCTTCTCTGTCCCTCTTGTCTTCCGACTTGAAGCGGGGTCTTGTTGAGCTGGGTGGGTTGAAGCTGGGGATGTCGAGCCCGTCATCGTCGGCCTCGACCGACCTGTTTGCGGGCGAGGTCCCTCCCTGATGGGGCGAGGGGGCGGGGGAGAGGTTCGGGTGGCGGGGACTGGCCTGATACGTGTGAGGGGGGGAGCCGAACGGAGACCTCTTGGTTTGCTCGTCTCGCGACCCAGGATCGCTGCCCTGGCCTCCTCTGGGGTTGGGCGTCTGCGCACCTCGCCATGGCGGGAATCCGGACGATGACGCCTTCTGCACCGTGATGGCAGATGGGATAGGGAGGCCGGATGCGGGGGCGGGGGTGGGGATGCGGTTGTTGTTCATGCTCAGAACCACCTCGTTCAGGATGCTCGTGTTGCCAGTCGTGCCGCTCATTGGAGACATCCCGCGAGCAAGGCCTGGAGCTGCCACCTGAACAGACGTAATGTGCACACACACACGTGGTCAGAGAGATGGATGTCTTTCCTGCCTTCCTGCATTGCAATGCATTGCCCGCTGTCTCCCTGCCTGAGTGGGTTGGGTAGGGTACCTACCGGTGATGGCGCTGGCGAGAAGTCCCCGGCCTGGAAGCTGTTGCCAGAGGGCAGGGGCAGGCTGGTGATGGACGAGTCCCTCACGGTGCTGTCGCCCCTGTCGTGATGGCGCCTGAACATGCTGGCCAGCCCCTTGGACTTCTTGTGCGGGGTGGTGTGCGGCCTGGCCGTGGTGGGCTGGCTGTTGGCGTTGGAGATGAGGGCGGGCGGCAGCTGGAACTGACCCTGGAACGGCTGGCTGCCCAGACTCAGCGCGGCGGAGTTGACCGACAGCGTCGAGAATGAGACCTTCTCGCTCTCTGATGGATGGATGGATCCACCACACCCACACAAGGACACGATGTGATCGATTCACATACTTGTGGCTAGCTAGCTGCGTATGTGTGTGTGTGCGTATGTACCTACCTGATCCGGGCGAGTAGAGTATCTCTGCCGCCTCTGGCGAGGCCTCGGGGATCACAGCAGCAGGATTCTGACCGACAGAAGAACACCACGACGCAAGAACCAAATCAGGATGGCAGAGGCCGTGTGTGTCTGTGCCTCCTCCGTGTCACCTTGATCCACAGATGCTGCAGCGCATCCTTGGCAGATATCCGTTGCGCGCGATCCCGCTGGAACGAACGGACCACACAGCACACCATACAAACAAACAAACCGTCACCGACGCCCTCTGTGTCGTCCCTGCTGGTGGTTGGTTCCTACCCTGAGCAGCTTCCTGGTCAGATCTTTGGCCGAGGACGATATGCCAGCCCACACGCTGTCATTCAACTCTAACTCAACCTGACATCCACACCACACACACACACAGACCCATACAGGACCCTCCCTCCCTCGTCAGCGGTGTGTGGCTTGCTTACTTCCTGCGGCAGTTTGGGCTTGCTGGCGGCGGCTCCCTGCCCACCGTCTTTGTGTGCCGCCTGCGGCGGCTTCTGGACGGGGAAGGGCAGCTTGCCCCGGAGCAGCAGGTACATGATCACGCCGATCGACCACACGTCGGCCTTCTGGTCGTATCCCTCCAGCGTCAGCACCTCGGGCGCTACGTAACTGACACACACAAGACATCACATCACAATACGTTACTTAGGCTGGCTGAGTGTGCGTGGGGTATGTCGGTGAGTGTGTTGTGTGTGTCTTACGCTAGTGTGCCGCATGGCTGCCGGAGCTTTTCGGATGGGTTGAGGAGCGTCGACAGCCCGAAATCCGTTATCTTGATGTCGGCATCGGTCGTCTTGTCTGCACACACACAAACACACTTATATGGATGGGCATGCCATGCGTGTGAGGTCTCCTGTCTGTCTGTGCGGGAGCTTGGGTGATTGATTGACTGACCTGTGAGGAGGATGTTTTCGGGTTTGAGGTCTCTGTGGATGATCCCACAGTTGTGCAGATAAACCACAGTCGACAGCAGCTGACGAACGATCCTGTAGACACACAAGAAAGGACACCAATACCACCAATACCAACGCGCCCCTACACGGGCACCCTCTCCCTCCCCCCTCTCTCCCTCTCTCTCTCTCTCTCTCTCTGTGTGTGTGTGTGTGTGTGTGTGTGTGTACCGAACCGGTTGACTTGCAGCTCGGGCAGCCTGCCAAGTGTGACGAGAAGGTCGTAGAGTTCTCCGCCCCTGACGAGTTCCATGACGAGGTAGAGGAACCCCTTGGTGTCGAGGATCTCCTGCAGGTGGATGACGTGCGGGTGACGCAGCAGACGCATTATCGCCATTTCGGACCGAAGCAACTCGCGCTCACTCGGACTGATCTTCGTCTGCAGCACACACGACACAACACAACACAACACACATAGATGAGAAAACGGCTCGACAAAGGTGTGGCTCGTCGAGGTCGACCTGACCTTGTCGATGATTTTGATGGCGTATTCAGCGCCGGTCCGTCTTGACACGCCGCGGTAGACGGTCGAGAACTTGCCCTGACCTATCTGCTCCATCACCTGCACACAACACACACACACACAGACAGACCTCAACCACCGCGAGAGCCATTTCTTCTGGTGTAGGTAGTCGGCTCGGTCTGACTCTTTTACCTGGTACATCTGGTCGATGGACTTCTGCTTCATACCGCTGCGCAACGCATCAACCCACTCGTCACGCTCCTGCACCCGGCCAAGCAACCACAGAGATAACCACATACATCGTTCTACCGACCCTCTGTGTGTGTGTGTGTGTGTATGTGTATGTGTGTGACCTACCTCTTCTGAGCTGCAGTAGAGGTCGTGTCGTCTGTAGGTCTCTGCTGTGTGGCAGATGGAGAAGCCGAACTTGTGGCCCTGCCCGCCCTGCGAAGAGCCCCCGCTGCTGTGCAGGGGCTGCTCTACCAACTCCACGTAACAACCTTCCAGAAAGAACACACCACGGGGCTTCGGGTCGCCCTAACACACAACGCACAAACACACACACACACACACAGACACACACACAGCCATGATGTATGTGGGTGCGTCTGTGGGTACGTCCGTGGCTGTGTGAGTGTGTGTGCCTACTACTACTTCTTACCTTTTGGTTGTAGTAGTAGAGCAGCGACTCCATGAGGACGTAGTAGCGCGCCTGCCACTGGTGCAGGTGTTTGCCGATCTTGTAGAGGACGCCCTCCTTGTCGGGCTCGTCCTTGGCCTTGGAGAGCAGCTGAGGCAGGCTGTCGAACTGGAACTGGCAGTTGTAGTGCCAGCACTTCCGGTGGTAGTAGCTGCGGCCCTCGCGACACAGCGGACACTGCAGCGATACCTCACCTGACAGACGGCACAGAGGCAGACAAGGAGAGGGAGACCACAGCGTTGCTCTTTGTGTGTCGCTGGCTTCTTGTCAGTCAATACACGCCTTCATACCATCGACGAGGACGAGATTAGGCCGTCTGCGCCCACACAACGGACATCTGAGTAAGACACATAGAGACAGACACAACGTTGACACGGACCTCAGGAGCCAGGCACCAGTACTTGCTGGGCCTCTCCGCTCTCTGTCTGTCTCACCTGGGCAGTGCCTGTCCGCATGAGGGGCAGCTGAGGACCTCCTCGACCATGCCGCTGTTGCCGCTGGAGTTCTGCTGGCTGCCCGACGACCGCTCGGCCGACGAGTGCGATGGGGCCGTGCCGTTGCGGGCGTGCGTCATGGCACGTACGGGACGTGTGAACTGGGACAAATCCAACTGCACAGACACACACAGAGAAGGGGAAAACGAGATAAGGAGAGGAGAGGAGCGGCGTGGTGCTGCCGTCCCGTCATGGCTTGGCATGGCTTGTGTGCGTGTGTTGTGTTATGTTTTTACGTTAGGGTTTGACTCCTTGACGACGTCCAGCAGCTCGGAGCTGACGAGGTCCCGCGACAGCCTCGGCAGCATCGAGTTCTCTGAGCCTGCCTCACGCGAACGGCGCAGAAACAGCCGCTTGATCTTGTAGAACTGGTCTGGCCCGATGGCCTGCCTCTCCCTGTCGTCGAAGGGCCCACTGGCGCCGGCGCCGCTGTACATGGACCACCGCTGTACATGCTGCCGGTCGGGGGCCGACAACATCGAGTTCTCGCCCAACTGCTCACTGACACACACAGCACAGCAGAGAGGAGAGGAGAGACCACACCACATGCCGCCTTTCTATCTATCATGTGGGTGGGTGTTTGTTGTGTGTATTGTATTGTATGTGTGTACGGTAGGTACGCACATTCGGTGGATGGAGTTGTCTCTGTAGAGTGCGTTTCCCTGGAGCCCCCAGATCTCCTCGTGGAGGCACTCGTTGAACATGAAGAGCAGCGCGTCGTTGTGCTCCAGCCACGTCTTGAACTCCAGGTAATTCAGCTGACCGTTCTCAGTGAACTGATCGATCAGCCACACACATACCGAACCGACCGCAACACAGACAGAGATCAGAAGAACCTCCCCATACATTTGATTTGCGCCTGTTGTGTTGTGCTGTGCTGTGCCCGTATCCCTTCCTGTGTTGGTGTCGTGTTGGCTGACCTCGCACTCTTCAATGATTTGCTCCACCAACGCCTCTATGTCGATCTCCTCTGACTCATTCCCCTGCACCATGGCATGGCATGATCGATGCACACACATCACATCACACAGGCGCCCTCGTTGTCGGTGCCCTCCTCTCTCTGCCCTGTCTCCGACACTCACCTCATCTTCCCTCTGCTTGAGCTGCTGCGCCAGGCTCTGGGTGCCCACAGTGCCCCCCACGCCATCAGGCCCGCCCCCGTTGTTGGCCTGCGGCCCGTCCCAGGTCCCCATGCCGTTGGGCATCGGCTGGGGCGAGGCGGGGTTGGAGAAGGCACCACTAGCGTGTTGGTGCTCGTGCCCTCCTCCATGGCCATGTCCATGCGGCCCCCCCGCCATGTAGTAGGAGTGGTTGTGGCCGACATGGACGTACTTGGTGAGGTTGGGGAGGTTGGAGAGCATGGCCACCAGCTCGGACTTCTGTATGTAGCCGTCGCCGTTGAGGTCAAACACCTCGAACAGCACGTGGATCTTGTCGTCCTTGGTGCCGCGGCTGCACACGGCTATGCCGATGAGGAACTCCTCGTAGTCCACCGCCCCGATGTTCTTGTAGTCGAACCGCTGAAACAATCGCTCACCCCACAGACCTGATTGATAGGACGAGAAGGTGGGACACATACAGTCAGTGTGTGTGTGTGTGTTGGTTGTGCATGTTTGTGTGTGTACCTGGCAGCGGGAAGTACTGCAGGAATGTTTCCTTGTCGACAAACTGTCCTCCGCTTCTGCTGGACAAATCCTTGAAGACCTTCTTGAGCATCTCCACCTCATCGACGTCGAACTTCTTGAGGTACTGCCGCAGATACTCCTTCCCGCTGCCCGTGGCCCCGCTGCTGCCGCCGTTGCCCATCAATCGCAACTGTGCTCGTCAAATCACGTCCGCCATCGTGGTTGCTGCATACACGGCTCTCGACAAGCTCGTACGCTTGATAAAAGATTCTTGAGTGGCGCCGCCGGCCATTCTCAAGGCAGTCGCCAAGTGAAAGAGAGCACCTGTGTGTGTCCCGTGTGCAGCTAAGCTCGCAGTCTGGTGCTGAGCTCGCAAAACGTCGCGGGTTGCGGTGCAAATATGAAGCTGCTGGCAAGTGTGGCTGTGCTGCCCTTCGTTGGGCAGGCAGATGCAGTCATTTCAACAAGAACCGTCGAGCCGCTGAGGCGGACAGACCGCAGATCCCCATTGCGCACAAGGGCTGCATCACCGCCAAGCGAGCCCGCCTTCCTCCCCATCTTGAGGCCACGGCCGCAGACGAGAAGATCTAGGCCGCATCGAGACGCCCGAAGGGCTCCTGTCTATGAGAATGGCGACCTGTTCGGCACCAGGAGGCGGCAGAGCGACGGAGGGCCTTTATGCACAGCAGCGGTGTCGGCCGACGCACCGGCCGATGGTGCTCTCGTGGGCGATGAGAGGAGGAGGGCATTCGACCCCGTCCGGTCTGTTCGGTCCTTTGTGGACTCCGTCGCCGAGCAGTACGGCGCTGCGGGGCTCTTCTGCCGCCGTCTGTTGAGCTACATTACATCGGGGGAGGGCGTCAAGTGGAACCCGCTGCTCATTCTGATCAGCATGGCGGCCGTCGTCGCCTCCAAGGTGCTGGCACTGCAGGTGCCCATCCTGCTCTCGAGGGCCATCGATCAGTAAGCATCACACAAGCCACGTGCACCACTCAGTCACAACACAACACGCCACTCTTGCACTCTCCTTCTCTCTCTCTCTGTCGGTATGCAGGATGTCGGCGACCAAGAGGGGCCCGATGGTGGTCCCGTCCGCCCTGCTGATGGGCTTCGGCACAGCCAAGCTGCTGTCGAGCCTATGCAACGAAATCAAGGCCGTCACTTTCAACCTCGTCCAGACATCGGGCTCCAGGCGGTTCTCGAGGGCGGTCTTCTCGCGGTTGCTCCAGCTGGAGTCGTCCTTCTACGTGAGGACGCCCATCGGCCGACTGACAACCGAGTACGAGAGGGCCGATGACGGCTTCGACAACGTCCTCAACAACACTGTCGTGTGGCTGCTCCCGACCTTCTTTGAGGTCAGTCAGTCGGTTGGCCAGACAGCAACGACTCACCCCATCGCTGCAGCATTTCCTTCCTGGCTGTCTGACATATGTGTCAGGTGGTATTGACGTGTTGGTGGCTGGCCAGGAGTTGCGGTCGCGACGTGGTTGGGGCGACGCTGGTGATGCTGGGTGTGTACCTGGTGTACACGCAGGCCATGGCCCTGTGGCGCATCAAGCTGCGGCGGTCGGTCAACGAGCTGGAGAACGAGCGGGGGTCGTACTTTGTGGAGGCCCTCAGCAACCACGAGATGATCCGGCTGTTCGACAACGCCAAGCACGAGGAGCAGCGGTTCGACGCCATACTCAAGAGACTCAGACGCATGCAGATCAAGTGAGAACGTGTTGGATTATGTGTGTGGCAGACTGACTGGGAGGGAGGGAGGGAATGTCCGTGTGTGTCACATCAATCAGGTCCATGCTATCGTTGAATCTGCTCAACCTGGGCCAGCAGATCATCATTGCTGTCGGTGAGTGAGGCCAACGAACAATCCCACCCTCCCCTCCCAACCACCTCAGATGAGCGTATGGCCAATTAATTCATCAGTGTGTGTTTTGTGTGTCTTGTCGGTTGTCTATCTATTGTGTCTGTCAGGTTTGACCAGCCTGTTGTGGCGAGGCGCCTACCAGGTGACAACTGGTGCCATGAGTGTGGGCGGCTTCGTTGCCTTCCACTCCATCCTCTCACAAGTCATACAGCCTTTCGGGTTCATCGGATGGCTACTACAGGTACACACACACACACACACACACACATAAACACACGCTCCCATCGGTAAACCTCTCAGCTCAGCTCACACCCCATCTGGCTGTGTGTGTGTGCACACAACACAACACAGGGTCTGCTGCAAGGGTCTGTGGACCTCAACTACATGTTCAGACTCCTCAACTCCGAGCCAGCAGTGGCAGACCGCCCCGACGCCCTCCCCCTGCTCATCAGCCGGCCGCACGAGGACCCCCTCTCATTCACATCGCCGCGAAGGAAGAAGGGCGCCAGCATCGAGTTCGACAACGTGTCCTTCACCTACCCCAACAGCACCCGGACGATCGTCAACAATTTGAGCCTCAAGATCCGGGAGGGCGAGAAGGTGGCGATAGTGGGCGGGTCTGGGGGCGGCAAGAGCACGCTGCTGAAGCTCCTGACGCGGCTTTACGAGCCCACTGCGGGGCGGGTGCTGATCAACGGGCAGGATGTGCGGGACATCCAGCTGTCGTCGCTGAGGGAAAACATCGGCGTCGTCCCGCAGGAGCCTCAGGTAGGTACCCACCCCACCCCACCCCACCCCACCCAACACACAAATGCTCAGGCAGGTTGACAGACAGAGACCCGAGGGCGGGCGCGATCTTGCTGTCGGACTCTGACAAACTGCATGCCATGCCACGCAGGTGTTTGCGGAGAGCATCTACAACAACATCCTCTATGGCGACCTGAAGGCCGATGACGAGAAGGTAAGAGGGCAAACACAGCACTCATTCCCGCGGTTCGGAACAAACGAACGAGCCGCCCGTGCCTGGCCTGTGTGTCCCTCCCTCCCTTGTGGTGGCCTGGCAGGTGTATGAGTCTGCCATCCAGGCGGGTCTCTCCCGCACCCTCGAGAAGCTGCCCGACGGCCTCAACACAACCATCGGACAGAGGGGCGCATCCCTCTCAGGCGGAGAGAAACAGGTCAGTTAGTCAGTGGGCTGAGTGAGTGAAGCTCAGTGGACTTCGAGAGTTCATTCTGATGTATGTTTGTGTGGTGCATGCAGCGCATCACGATAGCTCGAGCGATTCTGAAGGACCCGCCGATCCTTTTGTGTGACGAGGTGACGTCGGCCATGGACGCCTTCACGGAGAGGGAGATCGTCGACTCGCTCATGAACGTACGTATGGATGGCGCAGCGCAGCGCACAGACGAGAAAGGGCAGCTCAGCTGTATGTATGCCGATTGATTGATTGAGTACATGTGTGTGTGTCCCTCCCTCCCTTCTGTCTGTGTGTTGGCTGCCCTGCCCCCAACAGGTGGCCGAGGGCCGCACCTCCCTCACCATCGCCCACAGGCTGTCATCCGTCACGCGAGCAGACAGGATCATCGGTACGTACGTACGGGCACACGCCACCCACTCATTCTATGGATCTATCTATATATCTTTTGTCCGTGCCCACGGCAGTTGTGGAAAACGGTCGTGTGGTGGAGGAGGGTCGGCCCTCAGCGCTGCTGAGCAACTCCAACTCCCGCTTCCGCCAGATGTGGATGCGCCAGGTGGTGCATGAACACACCAAGGAGGAACAACAGGCCTCCGAGGACCAAGAAGAGGAGGCCGCCGAGCGTCGCGAGCGCCGCCACGACACCACCCACACCGAGGGTGTGGTCAGCGACCACGAGCCGTCTCGCGAGGTGGTGGCCGAGTCTGCTGCGCCGCCGACTCCGACATCTGTTGAGGATCACGGCAAGCTGGAGGACTGGGGTGTGGATGGCCACCGGTCGGGGGAAAAACCCGCTGACGAGCTGACGCAGGAGATGGTCGGCTCTACCAAGTGATGGACACACCATATGTGTGTGACAGACATGTAGGGGC